AGCTCAGCCCCTGGGCTCCCAGCACCACCACCCACAGCCACCCCAAATCACAGGACTCAGCCCCAGTGGACCCCACATCTGACAGAACAGGCGTTTGGCCTTGGTGAACATGCTGATTGTGTCATCCATTATGGGGTGCACTGTGCCCACAAAAGTTCTGTGCAAGTCCTAGCCCTGGTCCCCGTGAGCGTGAGCTTCCTCGGAAGCAGGGACTCTGCGGGTGTGATGGTTAAGGGGAGGTCACCCAGGAGCAGCAGAAGAGGGGAGCACAGACACACACACAGGGAGGAGACCACGTGGCCATGGGGGCAGAGACGCGGCCACCAGCCCGGCATCACGACCAGGAGCTGGACGGAGCAGGAGGAACCCTCCTCTAGAGCCCTTGGAGGGAGCAAGGCCCTGACCCCTGAGCTCATGCTTCTGGACCCCAGGACGGGGAGATGATTGAGTGTGCTTGTCTGGAGACCTTGGCCTAGGGCTCTGTTCCAGCCGCCCCAGGACACTGGGAACCCCCAAACCCACTCTCCCTGCCTCGTGGGATGCAGACATCAGAGCCCACCCTGTCCTCACAGAGCCTCAGGCCCTGACCTCAGCCACCATGCCAGGTACCAGCCCCCAGCGCCCAAGGCCTCTACCCACAGATGCAGTCACCCCTTCCAGAAAGTTCTCCCTTGTAAATAAATGAGGATAGAAATGGCCCATATGGAAATATAATGTTGTTAAAACCACTGATTAAGTTTTACACAACCGTGTGAAAGCAAACGAAAAGGTTTTAGCTTTTTAATTTAAGAAAAGAGGAATATGATATAATTTCAATTTGTGATAAGATAAGATGTTCTCGATATTGCAGCTTCAATTGGATTACATCCTAATGTACTTTGTAAAGTGTCAGGCCGGCTGCAGATTAAGGTGTGTGTGTGATATTCTTTATTAACAATGTAATGGGCCACGTTCGCTCTATCCGTCTTCATCAGCGTTTCCGGCCCACCTGGGAGACCTCGTTAGTGTGGAATCCAAACCCCGGGGCCTGGGGCGGGAGGTTGGGAGGAGATCCCTGGGTGGACCAGTGCGCAGGCAGGATCCCAGGGGGCAGGGGAGGGAGGTCCCCGCCTGCATGAGGCAGCACTAGAGGGGCAAGGGAGGAGGGGGGCTGGGGCCCCTGTGGTCTGGCCGCAGCCCTGCCGGTGGGTTAGGAGCCTGCTGGGCCCCAGGAACATGACCTGAACGCACATCCACGGCCCCGCAGAGTGTTCTGGGTACCCGGGGCTCCAGGATGCCCTGAAACCCTCTTTGAGGTGTTGATGAGCTCCCCCAGCCAGCAGCGTGCACAGTCCTGGGCAGGAAGCGAGGCACCCGCAGGAGGGAGGGATGTGCAGGCCCAGCGAGGCAGCTTTCTGGGTGAGCAGACCCGGCCCCCGGCCCCAGGACCTGTCCATGGCCATGATGAAGGGGCAGATGGCCCTGAGGTTTGCGAGGGGCAGGAGGGATGGGTTGGGTGAGAAGAACCCAGCTCAGACCCAGGACACCGCCCGCCCTTTCTTCCTGGACCCCAGATACATGGGTGTGGAGATACGTCCACACAGATTTCATTTGCAGGGTGACCGGGGCTTCTGTGTGGGCCCAGCCACACAGGGTCTCTGAGCCGCCAGGGAGTCCAAGCTTTGCTGTCTGTATCCTCCCAGGTCAAGGCCAAGGGCACCCAAACCCAGGACCCGCCACTCCTGACATGTGACCCTGGGTGCTCCTCTGTGACTCGGTTTCCCCTCTTGTCAAAGGGACAGAGCGCCGCCTAGCACTCTCCAGTTTCTGTGGAAAAACTAGGTGCCTCCCCCCGAAGATCCCCTCTGTTAGCACTGCCCAGCCCTGCCCCTGCCTGTCCCTGCTGTATGACCCTGGGGAAAGCCCTTCCCTCTCTGGGCCTTGATCCCTTTCTCTAGAATGGGAGGGGGTCGCAGGGGCTGAGGCGCCATCCATGGGAGATCCAAGCCAGCTTCACCCGTCAGAGCCTGAGACCCCCATCTTGGGGGTTCCACCCAGGGCAGGGACTGAAGGAGGGGGGTTGGGCCAAGTCAGTGGAGGTTGCAAGGGTAAGGTGTGGCCAGAGTGAGCTCCTCTCTATGATGTCCTTGGGCCCCTAGAACATGCTGCCAACCCTCACGTGGGCAGGGGTCTAAGATGCCCCAGAATGTCCCCCAGAGACCTTGAACCCCTGCCTACATCCCTCCTTGTCCCTGGCGCCTGCAGGGGGGGGTGCTCTGCCAAGGTGAGGCCCTGATTCTCCCAGGCCCTGGGAGCACCTCTGTGACTGTGCGGGGGTCCACACAGGGCCCATGGCCGTCCATTCTCACGGGAGGGGAAACGGAGGCCTGGAAACTGGACCCCTGGCGTGTCCAGTGTCACAGCTCAGTATATGCATGTCATTCATTCCCTCCACACACGGTTCTTGCACTCCCACCATATTCTGGGCGCCGGGGACATAGTGATACCACGGACCAATGAGCTCCCTGACTCAGGGGATGTCTGTCTTAGGACAAAACCAATACCTGAATCCAGAAGGTGACTTCCAAATGAGAAAATCTGCTGGGGTGGCAGGCAGAGAGCCAGGGGGATCAGGAAAGCTCCCTGAGGAGGGCACAGCTAAGGAGTCAGCCTGATGGAGGATGAGTTCTAGACAGAGGCATGGGCATGTGCAAAGGCCCTGTGGTATATCTGCTTGGAGGCCAGTGAGCTGTGGCAGAGCGAACAGAGGAGGGGCAGCAGGAAGCTAACTCAAACCCTGCCTTCCTGGGAGTGAGGGGTGCAGGAGCCCAGGTCCCCCTCACACACACACAAGCACCCCATCCCTGGCCTGGATGAGCCCCTCCCTCCCCACCTCCGGCTACACCCACCCTGAGATTCCCCCAAAACTTCTACCCCGTCAGCCCTTAGTCCATGGTTTCCCTCTGCCCTGAATGTCCTCCAGAAGTTGCAGCCATGAGCCCTAGACCCATGGAGCAGCAGGGGGCTTCAAGATGTGTGTGCCATGAGTGGGAGGGGGTTCAGCCAGGGAACAGCCCAACCTTGGTACCCCCCACCCCAGGTCTTTCCGGGCCTCATGTGGGAAGAGAAAAGCCCAGACACTTGCCAAGGCCCTCCTGTATGCACAGACAGTGCAGCCCTGGGAAGCACACAGACGTGTATCTGGCTGGGCCTCCTGCTCATTCGCTGTGCCTTCTGGAACCTGCTGAGCCCTCTCTCACTGGGGTGTGAGCCCCCTGGCCTCCTTGCTGTGGGTGGAACTGGGCGGATCCTCCAAGTTGGGGAGGCAGCGGAGAAGCCAGGCCCCACCTACACCCCACAAGCAGTCACACCTGTGGATCCCCTCCTGCTCTGCCCCAGCTGAATGGATATTGCAAGGACCTGGGAGCCCCGTGCTTGTCCTGGGATCCCCCCAAGGCCACACCCGTGCTTGTCTTGCTCTGATAGTGTCCACAGGGGCACCCGGCGGAGAGCATGACGTCCTGCCCAGGCCTCCACCACCAGCACCAACCTGAACCCACCCAGCACCCCAGGGAGTAGCCCTGATGAGGGGCATGTATCTGTGGCTGGACCGGGGTGGACAACATGCCCAGCCCCATCTCAGAGACCCCCCCCCATAGTCCCAGCCCACAGGGCCCCCAGGGCCTTGGGGGGGGGGGGCCAGGGACCAAGCTCAGGCCCCACCTAGCTTGCTGTGTAGCTTCAGGGGTCCGGTGGCCTCTCTTTGCCGTTTCCTTGTCTGAGAACTGCAGCTTCTCAGGGTCTCTGGAGCCGGGTCCCTGTTGGGTGACCCTCTGCCTCCCCCTGGTGGTGAAGAGCCCACACTGCTGCAGGCCGGGGTCTCCACTGGACGGTGGAGCAGACCCGTCCAGGCTGCCCTTCACCACGCATCTCACCCTGGGGTGTCTGCTGAGAAGAGCCCATTGCGCCCAGAACCCAGGAACGATGCCGAGCCTGCGTGGCCCACTGTCCGCGGACCGATCTGGCAGCCGACCCCTCCACTGTGGGCCCTCCTGCCTCTCCAGTGGGGGTCCTGCTGTGATGGGCCGGCCAGCATAAGGCCTCAAGTCCCACCCTCCCACCACCCCCCGCCACTGCCGCTGGTCCAGATACACCCACATGACCCACACGCAGCCCCTCTGTCGGTCACCAAAGGCTCAGAGAGGGCAGGGCCCTGGCCCAAGACCACTGAGCCAGGCAGCAGAGCAGACACTGCAAACCCATCTCTGCACCAGGCAGCTGCCCTCCCTGTCCCATGTCACACCCCGGCCTCAAGTCCCCAGAGTGCCCGGCTGAGACTCCGGCACCCCTTAAGGGCAACAGAACGCAGTGGGAGCTCTGTGGGTCCCCAAAATACTCAGCCGGGGACCCCGTCTGCCACCAGCCTGGGGAATGCTGGTGCTGATCCCCTGGGGACAGTCCACCAAGACCGCCACAATGGGCTCCCACAGTGGCTGGAGACAGCACAAACAGGGAGACAGGCCGATGGAGAAGTTCCTCTCCTGGCGTACCCGAGTGAGGGCAGCATGGGGCAGGGACTCAGGGTGAGCTGCAGAGGGCCTGCTCCACTTTGGCCTTCACTGACCCGACTGTGCCCTCTCCACCAGACATGGGGAAGGGCAGTGAGCCCCCCTCCCTGTTGGACACCAGGCCCGGGCTTGGATTCTTCTGTCCCAGGGCACAGCTCCCTCTGCCCCCAGGCAAGGTCACAGATCTCAAGCTTTGGAGATCCCCACTTGGGGCCAGTCCCTGAGTACAATTGGCACAGACCTGTCCTGTCCCTGGCTCAATCCATGCAGCCAGGCCAGGAATCAGCCCCAATGCCCATCTAGGAGCGTCCAGACCAGTTCAGAGAGGGTTAGCGCCTGCTCAAGGCCATGGACACATCCCCACTGATGCATAAGCGGGCTCTGGCCAAGACCTCGGGCCAGGTGCCAGGCCGCCTGGGAACACGTGGCGAGCAAGAGAGTGAGCCCAGGCCATGTGGTCACTTTCTTTATTGTGGCGGCTCAGAACCCACAGGGAGGGGGGTGCAGGTCCCCACCCCCACGGTGCCCGCCCTGCCCAGACTAGGGGCAAGGGTCTTGTAGCCAGCCAGGCAGCTCACTCAGGGGTCCTGCTTTTGCTCCTCAGGGACAAGACCCTGGACAATCTGAACTTGGACTTCTTCTTCTGGTCTCCACTGTTTCTCTGGAGGTCTAGTGGGGGAAGGGGATGGACACTGAGGATACTCACCACCTCTTGGCCACCACCCCTGCCACATTTGTCCCTCCCGCCCAGCCCTGGGAGCCCTCCCTGGGCCCCCAGAGCCTGGAGGAAGCCAGGCCCTGTCAGGAGCCCTGAGACTCAGCCCTCCCTTGGGGAACTGCCTCTGCGCCTGCTGTTAGAGCTCCCGCTGGCCTGGGCACCCTCCTACCCTGACCACATGGTCAGCAGCTGCCTCTCGGCCCCGCTGAATGATGGCAAGCTAGCTCCCTTGGGGTGAGCCTTCCTGTCCTCGGGCTGTATCTGTCCATGGGTCCTGGCCCCCACCCCCACGGGAGACTCAGCCCGGACCCCCCCACCTCTGCCCTGGCCCCCCGTTACCCAGCCTCTGGATCATGTTCTGTAGCATCTCGTCCTCCTCTAGCTCCCTGAAACAGGAGAAGCACAGCAGTGAGGGGCTGCCCTCAGGGGTGAGGGGCTAAGGGCTCCCAGTCAGACTCATAGCCGAGCCCCCAGCCCATGGGACACCTGCGTCAGCTGTCGCCCATCGGCCAATAAGGCAGCACCTGCCCCCTCTGGGTCCGGACACTCATCGGTGGCACAGGGACAGGAGGGCCCTGGAAGGACCTGGACCAGGGCTCCCTCAGCTCAGATGGGAGCACGTTTAAATTTGGCCACTGACTCTGTGACCTTGGTAGGTCCCTCCTTTATGCATAGGGACAGACGCGCCCCTATGGGGAATGGTCAGGAAGCCGGCAGCTGCCCCCAGGGCTGGTTGGAAACCAGAGGCCACCCCCAGGGCTGGTCAGGAAGCCAGCAGCCCAGTGCCGCACCAGGAGACACGGGTGGCTGTGTGTATTTAAATAAAAATAAAATATAAAGTTCCATTCCCCTGTTGAATGGGTCACAGTGAGCTGTTCACATTGTGGAATGTTCCAGCAGCAGATGCTGACCCCTGAGGGTCAGGGAACACGGGGCTTGGTTGGGGGGCAACCTCTAAGACAGGCAGCCTGGGTCTGCCCTCGGCCTCAGGGCCTCCTCCTACAGGACACAGTGTGGGGGGGCGTTCTCCCTGCTGATGGTGGGGAAAGGCTCTGCGCAGGAGGTGACCAGTCAAGGCCTGGCAGGGAGGAGCTGGTGTTCTGGCCGCCCCTCACCTGGGCCCCAAGCCCCGCCCTCACCGGAGCCGGTCCTCCTCCAGGAAGTCCACGATGTTGCTGCGGTCGTCCACCGTGCTGACATACTGGCTCAGCAGCTCTTCCTCACGCTGCTGGTCCTGGAGGGACTTCAGATACTCTGCAGGGACAGCCCGCCTTCAGTGGCAGCCCTGCTATCCCATCGCGCTCAGGGACACAGCGTCCCCATCCCCAAGGGTCAGGCTCCTCCCCTGGAGGTGGGGGAAGGGTCTTGGGGGCAATTGGGGACAGAGTCTGCCCTTCTGCGGTGAGCTCTTGGCTACGCCAGATGGACAGATGGACGGATGGACGGGTGGAAGGGTGGTCGGGTGGGTGAGTGAACGAATGAATGAATCAGTGGAAGAACGGCCAGATCAGACGCAAGCGCCGCTGCCGCCATCCCACAGCGAGGAAGGGCAGAGCCGGGGCTGCCGTGCCTCAGCCCCACCATCTGCAGTACCCAGAGGCCATGCTAGTCAGGGCTTACAGCCTGCACACACGATCAGCTCACGTAACCACTGCAGCTGAGGGGAGTGCAGGTGGTAATCACTGCAGAGGAGCACAGAGAGGGTGAGTGCCCTGGCCAAGGACACACAGCCAGGAGAAGAGGCGCTGAGACTTGACCCTGGGCAACCCATCAGCCTCTGCCAAGGTGGCTGCCTAGGCAGCCAGGAGGGGCCTGGGAGAGGCCGCCCCCACCCGCCCACCCCGGCTGGCTGCGGTTCCCTGGGGTAGGCAGGACTCACTGGGCTTGGCCATCAGCTGCCGCAGCTCCCCCTCGAGGTCCAACTGCTGCTCCACCAGCCGCTGGTCCCTGGCCCTGCCAAGGGGACGCAGGCGTGAGGCCCAGCCCGCCTGGCTGGCCGCCCCCACCCGCCCAGTGCTTGAGCTGGGGCGGCCGGAAGAGGAGGCGGCTGTCCAGGAGAGGGCCCCTTCCGGGGGAGGAGCGGCTGGACCCCTCACTTGTACATCAGCTCCGACTCCTGCCGCAGCAGCAGCTGCTTCTCGTGGATGAGCTGGAACCAGTCCGCCATGAGGGTGTCCTCGGAGGCATCTGTGGAGAGTGGGGGGGCCAGGATGGCTCAGCTGGGGCCAGGGCGGCTCCAGGGCGAAGCTGGCTAAGGCCAGGCTGGGGCACCAGGCAGCGTATCGGCTCACCTCCCTCAGCGGCACGGAGACGCTTCTCCAGTTCCACGCCCCTGAGCTCCAGGACGTCCAGCTGGTTCTCGATGTCCTGCATGTGCCTCTGGATCTCCTCCGGGGGCATGTAGTTAGGGGGCAGCTGAGGGTGGAGGGCTGGTGAGGGGCCGTGGGAGACGCCGGGCCATGCCCCGGCGGGCGGCGTTCCTGGCTCCCCATACCCTGGCTTACTCACCTTGGCGGGGTTGGTCACTGCCTTGCTGGTTGAAGAGGGGACACCAGCCGAACCCAAGGTCTTCCCTGCTGAGGGCGAAAAAGTCTCCTGGACCTGGTGGCACCAGGCCCAAAGCTGTGTTGACCCCACCCTGCCTGACCAGCAGCCCTGCTCGCCCTTCACCCTGGCAGCCCTAAGCGGTGCCCTGCTGGTGCCCAAAAGCCAGAGCTCACAGACAGATCCAGGCACCATCCTCCCCGCCCCTGTGCGCCCCCGTCAGCAGCCCGGGCACCCCAAGCGTAAACGCTCCCCCATCGCCAGGAGGACCTATCTGGTCCTCCCCTCCCTACTGGTGGGCAAGAGCTCAGGGACAGAGTCCTCCAAGCTCCCTGCCCCACCCGAAGCCCCTCTGACACCACTGGGTCGTGTTCCAGGGCTGGGCATCCGGAGCCCCCGGGTTCCCGCCCAGCATTACCTGAGGGGCTGGGTGGAGGGCTAGCTGCACCCACCGTCCTGTCAGGCGAAAGAGGGGTCGGGGGAATGTGGACGGGCCCCTCGGAGCTCTCACGGGCCTTCCCAAGTGCCTCACCAGTCCGGGGCTCTGCCAGGACCCTAGACAGAGGGCAGGAGGTCAGCGGAGGGAAGGACAGGCTGCCCCCACACCCAGGTGCAGACAACCTGAGGCAGGGATGAGCTCGTGACCAGCTGCGACCCTCTTAGAACACAGATGTGTATTCCCATGAGCACTCACCTGTGGGTGTGAGCACCATCCTCACATCTGGCGCAGGACCCCAACCCCGCTGCCCGCCCCCGGGCCACACACTGCTACAGTGCACTCAGGGCAGCTGGTGTGACTGCCCCCACCATGACTCAGGCTGGTGTGACTGCCCTACCGTGATTTAGGCCGGTGTGACTGCCCCCCGCCGTCACTCAAGCCGGTGTGACTGCCCCCCATTACTCATGCTGGTGTGAACTGGCTTCTGCTACCACTGCTGAGAGGTCCGGGCAGATGTGCACTCATCCCTCCCATGGGTATGTTAGTCGGTCCGTTTGTGCGCCATTATTCACCTGTGTGCACTGGTGAGTACCTACTCTGTGCCTGACCCTGTGTTAGCCCTCAGACCCCATGAGCACAAAGCCTGAGGCCCAGGTGCAGGTGCAGGGGAACCCCCCCCTTCACCTCTCAGCAGGGTTTTTCTTCACCGGCTTCAAGCGGGCCCTCCATCCTGCCGGCCCGTCCTCCTGGTCTTCCTGGGGGCTGGCACTCATGCCTAGGTTGGGGGACAGGGACACAGGTCACAGGGGGTGTTCTGCTGGGAAAGACTGGATCTCACCCACCCCCACCCCAGCTTCCTGCTGCCAGAGCCTCTTGAATCCCCACACAGCCAGCCGGGCCCACAGGACAGAGTCGGGCTAGGAGTTGGGCTCAGGACTTCAAGCCTACACTGTGTGTGCTCAGGGGAATCGCTCCCCTCTCTGGGCCTCAACTTTCCCTGATGCCACATGGGTGAGGGGGAGGCCAGGTGAGCCCCATGGATGCTGAGTGCCCATGTGTCTGTGGGACGGATGGCTAAGCTGGGACAGCCCATCTGCTGGCTTCCTTGGCTGAGAACAGAGTGGCTTTCATTACAGGGGGACTCGGCTGAGGGAAAGATCTTGGTAAAACACTGAGCATGGGGTGTCATGTGAGCCTAGCTCAGTAACGCCAGGGCACCCGTAAGATACCCAGGCGTCCAGAAACAAGGTAACTCCACAGTTACCCCAAAAAGTGTATGAAACGGCGCCGGGAACACGAGGCCACAAGATGGTAGTAAGCGGTGGGAGGGGCCTCTGGGAGGGGCCCAGGCCCAGGCCCAGGGGCGGCTCCAGGATGCAAGAAGCCCCGGGGCACTGCTGTCGGGACAGAGCAGGAAGGACAGACACGCACAGGAACCATGGACGAGAAACCCCAGGGAAGAGGGGGTGAGGCCACGACCAGGGCAAGGCAAGAGAGGAATCACGGACACCCTGGCGTGGTCACCAGGGACAGTGACGCCAATGACCGGGGCCACGGGGCCTCAGCAAGAAGGACCGGTGGGGCAGGTGGGTGGCTAACAGTGACCATAAAGCCACGCCACCCCAAGAACATCGGCCGCCCCGAAACTTGAGTCAGGCAGAGCAGGGAGAGAGAGCAAAGACCAGGGTGGGTGCTGTGACCCAGGTGATACAGAGGACAGGCACTCAGGGCTGGCGAGCCCAGGTGCCAGGCAGGAACCCGAAAATCACTGCAGAACCACAGGCCAGGGAGCGCCCACCCCACCTCTGCTCCAGGGGAACTCTTACCCTTCACTGGTGGGGCCTCTGGCTTCGGCCTGGAGCCAGCACTCGCCCGACTGGCCCCGGAGCACACAGGCGGGCTCTTCCTGCCCGCCTGGGGCGATGTGGCTGCCCCTGACATGGTGCCCACCTTCAGGGGGGCTGGAAGCTCAGGCCTCGCCGGGGGGCTAAGGGCCCGGGGAGATGCCAGCTGTGCCAGCTTGGCTGATGGACTTGCTTGTGGTCCTTCGGTTCTGGTATGGGATTGCAGAGCAGGGGAGGGTCTATGGGCGAGAACGTAGGCATCAGGCACAGGTGGACCCAGGAGCCCTTCCCGCCATGACCCCCAGGCAGAAGCCCCTTGGCCTCCCCTGGCAGCTGATTCCTAATGTCCACCCTCCTGATGGGGACAGACAGCCCCTCCAAGGGACTAGCCAAGGGCACCCACTTCTGGCACAGGTGTATACGGCCCTGGATATTACCTTCCCATCTTACTCTGGTACGGGCTGAGATTAAAACACCCCCAAAACACACTGTGCATGTGCTGAGGGGCCACACCACAGCCCCGCCCCCTTCCAACTACCTGCCCAGAGCCGGGATGCACTGGGCCCGCCTAGCCCCATCTGAGCAACATGTGTGAGGCCTCCCCATGGGTGGCCCATCAGCGGCCATCCTGCACCCTCTTGGGGCACATGCGTGCAGGAAGCAGGGCTGCCAGCTCCCAACAGGGCCCAGGGCAGAGGGCTGGGACCTCCCCAAACCAGAGCAGCTCCTCCATGTGCCCCATGCTCCCCAGGAAACCAGTCTCTCCCTCCCACTTCTCCCCACCATCTGGGTGCACGGTGACCAGGGCAGCCCTAAGCCAGAATGCCGCCCCAAAATAAGGGGCCACACGAGGTAGCGGGCATGGCCTCATCAGCCAGCCTGGTGTGCAACCTTCTTACTCACTAGGCCACCGTTGCATGGTGAACGGTTTCCCCCCCGCCCCAACATTCACGTCCACTTAGAAGCCCAGAGCATGGCCTTATTGGGAAATAGGGTGTTAGCAGACGTAACCAAGTATGGATGAGGTCATCCTGGATTGGGGAGGCCCTAAGTCCAGTGACGGGTGTCCTTATAAAAGAAAAGTAGAGGACACAGACACAGAGAAATTCAGGTGACCCTGGAGGCTGAGAGGGAGGGTATGGCCACAAGCAAGGAAAGCGGGGCCACCAGGAGCTGGCTGGGGGGGGAAGGACGCCCCTCCCCCAACATCCCCGGAGGGAGTGCAGCCCTGCCTGCCTCGGGTTCGGCCCTCTGGCCTCCAGAACTGGGAAAGAACAAAGTTCCGTCGCTTGAGCCCCCAGAGCACGGTGCTCTGTCCAGTAGCCTCCGCACATGACCGCGGGGACACTCCATCCATCAGGGCCCGCTCCGTGTCCAGCGTGCAGAGGGCACCGGGGGAGTTGTGGGGGGATGAGCTCTGCCCAGGTCAGAGAGAAGGACACTGGGACCTCTCCCATCCTCTGGTTCCCCATTGGGTGTCCTCCACGTGTGCCATACAGAGGCCCCAGGGGACAGCATCCATGCCCCTGAAAGCCCAACCACTATAGCTCTAAGTGACAATGGTGTCCCCTCCTGATGACCACTGGGCACTCTGGGTCCCGTCTTATTCCCACTTCCCAGATGAGGAAGCTGAGGCTGGAGAGCACACCCAGGTAGGGCCTGGAAGCCTCCTCAGCTGCCCCTGACCCTGCCCAGCCCCTCACCCACCTGCCAGGCAGCTGGGCCCCGGTGTCCCCGAGCCTGGGAAGGGCCTTCCGGAGGCAGCTGAGTGCCTGCTCCCTGCTGCTGTCCCCAGAAGCCACATCTGCTGGAGCTGGGGCCCTGCCCGCCAGGCCGGGGCTGGGGGTGGCCCCGGGAGTCTGGAAGAATCTCTCGCGGGCCTGCTGCATCTTGGAAGCTGATGGGGTGCCGTCTGGGGTGTCTGCTAGGACTGGAGACGCTGGGCCCACACTGACCTTGGTCTGGGGGGCTGCCACATGGGGGGTCCCTGGGCCCTGTGGGGTGGCCAGGTGAGAGTCCGTGGCACTTGGCATCAGGGCAGGACGGGAGCTGACAGCTGCTGTGTCCTGGACCAGCGGTGACGACCCCGCTGGGGAGCTGTTGGCCACACGCATGCTGGCTTTGCCACCCTGGAGGCCCGCCAAGAAACTGGGCCCGGCTGAGCTACCCGCGTGGACGTGGGAGGAGGTGGCGGCCGGAGGCTCAGCTGGAGTGGGGACACCCTTGGCCGCTGAGCTGCCCACCACCGGCTCCGGGGCCGCTGGCCTGGCTTTTGGCCTTGTGTCTCGGAGCCCATTTGCCTCCTGGGCCTTCCACGGGGCACTGCGTGGCTGGGAGTCCGAGGGCACAGCCCTTGGCTGTCGGGGGCCCGGGGCCCGCAACGTGGGGCTTGCGGACGTGGCTTCGGGGTGGTGGCTGGAACACACGAAGACGCCGGGCTCGCCGGTGGGCCTGTAGGCCCCAGAGTGCAGCGTGTTGGAGCACTGCTTACACCTGAGGCGGGGCAGAGGCAGGCCCGTGAGGACACTCCAGGCTGGCATGCGTGCCCCACTCACGCACACGCCTGGGCACAGGCTCGTGCAGCCCCACGTCCGCGTGTGTGGCGGGGACTCACTCGACAGCCAGCCCTCCTCGCGGTCATTAGTGTCTGTGCCTATCAGCGCGGCACACGCACACACACGAGCACACGCACGTGCCGAGGCCCCCCGCGCCGGCCCCACCTGAAGCAGCTCCGGTGGTAGAGTTTCCCGTCGGCCAGGTGTCGCTGCACAAGGTGCACGTGTTTGCCGCAGACCCCACAGGTGCTGCTGACTGAGCTGCTCGGCGAGGCCTGGCCCATGGGAAGGGTGCCAGCTGTCATTTCTGAGGTCCCCCCACCCCAGGCCTCCCTCCTGACCGCTGCCCCATCAGTGGGCGAGAAGATCCCACTTTACAGACCAGAGAACTGAGGCCCCAAGGGGAGCAGCAGCCTGCCAGACGCTGCCAGGAGGGCCCATGCCCCGGCCGGCCAGACTCCAACCTTAGGGTCTGCAGCCCAACCCCAGCATAGGGGGTCTGGGGGCACAGAGGACAGGTTCACGAGCTCCTGCGGCCACGGGAGGGGCAGCGGTCCTAACAGCAGGCTCGAACAGCAGGGGGCGCCCAACCACAGCATATCCCCTGCCTCGTCCCGGCCTCTGAAAGTGGGGATACCCTAATGCCCTGGGCAGGCTGGGAGGACACACCCAGGATTCTTTCCTGGCCCACCCACAAGGGAGGGGCAGAAGGTCACAAAGGTCGGGACTCAGGGTCCCAGCTGTGCTCAGCCTGCACCACCTCCCTGGGCCTCAGTGACCTATGGGTACAATGGGGATCCTGTCCCGACCGCGGGATAGGACCCCACTCCCAGGGGGTGTCAGGTCACACTCAGTGCCAGGAGCCAGAGGGAAGGCGGGGCTGGGGTGCTTACGGTCTTTGGCAGGAGGCCGCCTGAGCTGCCGTCCTTCCACTGGATGGTGGGGTTTCTATTGGCTGGAGACAGTGGCTGCTCCCGGGCTGCAGTGGGTGAGGGCCTGGCCGGCTGGGATGTGGCCTTCTTCCCAGACGGCTCCTCGCTGGACTCCGATGAGGGTCTTTTGATACCAGCCATGCCCCCAACTGCCATGACACAAACAGGCTCAGGCTCTGAAAGCATCTGGGGCCACCCCTGGTCCAGGTCCCCTGTGGGAGCCCGGGGCTGCTGGGAAGGGCAGCTCCCGCGCTGTCCGGGGGCGCGGGAGGGGTGGCCGAGGTCAACTGGGCGCACATTCCCAGCGGGGGCCTGGCCTCCCCCATGGCCCTCCCCTCTGGCTCTGAGAGCCCCGATCTGGGGTCTGGGAAGTGGAACTTTTCTGTTTCTCCACAAAGTGGAAAGATCAAGGCGGGGCTGGTCCTGTGCCCAGAGTGATTCCGGGGATTTCTGAGGCCTGGATGAGGAATGTGGGGGGAGGGGAAGTGGCTGAGCTTTGGGGTGCACAAAGCAGCCAGAATAAAGTTCCTCGGGCCTGTCCCTCACCCACGCGCCCTGCCTGGAGGCCCTGGCTTGCCAGGGCCATCCTGGTGTCTATAAGACCAAATGTCAGGACCAAATGGGGTGGTAGGGGGTGCGACCTCTGGAGCCAGGCCCGGGAGCCCACACAGGGTCTGCCAAGCTGCCTGAGGCAAGAGTTGTGGGCACAGTTTCCAGGCATGTAGATGGGCAAGCTGAGATCAAAAGGGTGAGGATCTGGGCACATCCATTTGGTGGACAGATGTGGGGGGGCCTGCAGGGTCTGAACCCGTGCTCATTACTTCCAGAGCATGGGGGTGCCTTGCTCCCCTGGGGAGGAGACCACAGCTCAGGGAGCCCCATACATGTGGCACCAGAAGGGCCTCCCTGCCCACTTTCTGCCCCACTGGGCAGCGCTGGGGGCCGAGACGGCGGGTGGGCCTGGCCGTGCGGGCTGTGCAGAGGCGAGGTGGGAGAGGGCCTCCTGACTCACTGGGGGAGCGTCCGTGGAAGTAGTTGTAGTACTGGGACACGTAGGTCAGGATGCTCAGCCGGTCAGGCACCTTCAGGGCCACCATGTCCTCAGCGTCCAGCAGGGCTGGGATGCCCAGCTCCTCCTCGGCCACACGGAAGGCCTGGGAGGGGGTGGTCAGCATGGGTGGGCTGGGGGACAACCCTTCCTCCTTCCCTGCCAGCCCACCAGCTCCTCCAGGAAGGAGGCCAGAAACCCGCTCAAGCCCAGATAGCTCTGGGTTCAACGTTCACGCTCTGCTCAGGCTGCATGACCTCCCTGAGCCTCAGTTTACCAGTCTGTACAACAGGAACCATATCCTGGCCACGCATGAGCCAGTCCCTGCCATGGCCAGCCTGCTATCTCCTGCCTGCAAACGCCCATCCCTCACCTGATGGTCCTCGAGTCCCACATGCTCCCTTCCCCTAACTGCTGACACAGCCACACCACACCTGAGGACAACACCTCAGTCTCCAGGCGTCCGAAATAGGGCTCCAGGGGTGACCTTCCTGCCATGCTCAGGCCAAAAGCCTCAAATCTCCTTTGACTCCCTTTCAAAACACATTCAGAATCTGACTCCTCCTGCGGCCATCATCATCCCCTTGTCACCCACCCCGCTGTCAACACAGTTCCTGTGGACCCCGAGCACTCCCACAAAGCACTCCCACTCTCCCCTGGGAGAGGAGGCCAAGCACTTCCCATGCTCCGCCAGCCCCACTCTGCTCCCACCGCCTCCCTCACTGTTCCAGCCTTGCTCCCACTCTGTTCCCCCCGCCTCCCCAAGTCTGTTCCCACCGTGCCCCCACTCTCTTCCAGCCGTGCCCCCACTCGCTGTTTCTCCTACTACCCAGGTCCCTGCCTGCCCAGCGCCCTTGCCCAGGGAGCACCCCCCCACCAGGTACGCCCCTCCCAGAAGTGCCCAGGGGGCTCCATCTTTCCAGGGCAGGACCTGCCCTGTCCCCTCATGAGGCCGCACACAGCTCTGCCGCACTGTCCCTGCATGTTCATCCTGCTGGCGCACGCTACAGTGTCGCTATAGGACTTCCTGCCACGACGGACGAGCTCCCATCCAAGCTGTCCATCCTGAGGGCGACCCGTGGAGAGCGCGGCTGAGGAACTGAATCTGTCCTTTATTTCATCTAAATTAAGTCAAATTGAAAGGCAAACCATCCGCGAGCTGGGCAGGGCCGGCCGCGGACACCTGGGTTTGCCCCACCAGAGCCCAGTCTGACACCCCGCTGGAGAGCCAGCTCTGGGAGGAAGGGCGTGAGTCTGTCTCTCTAGGCAACGGCCTCCAACGACAATGGGGCGTGTTCTGCAGTGAGGAAACTGAGGCAGGGAAGGGTCTGGCGTCAGTGCAGCAGGCAGTGTGCTCAGGACCCGGCAGGCAGGAGGTTGGCGGGCACACACTGTAGGTCTCCACAGGGCAGGGAAGGGCCACCGGCCCGCCAGGACCCACCCCAGGGCTGGTCCTCCCAGAGCCACCTCTGGCCCCCATCTGCCTTGGGTGGGAACTGAGTCCTAGCCACTCCCGACCCCTGCCTTCCCCCACAGGAGGAAGGAGACCAGGAGGTCCGGGGTACCAGACAAGAGGCTGTATTTCTGGGGTAGGGTGACCTGGCTCAGGACAGGCTGCAGAGCTCAGCGGTGCGTCTCCGGCCACCGGGTGCTCACCTGCTAGGCCGGCAGCTCCCACAGCTGCCCTGGGGGCGCCCGAGGGGATCTGGGACCTGGGTGACGGTGCAGGGAAGACTAGAGAAACAGGGGCACTCACCAGTTTGTTGTTCTCATAAATGTTTTCCTTCCTGAGAGCATTGAAGTCTCTGGAAGAGAGAAAGACAGGTGTCCGAAATAGCTCAGGGAGGGAGACCGAGGCACGAGGTCACCACCCGGCACCCCAAGCAGGCAGAGCTGGCCCTGCTCCGGGCTCAGCAATGCTGGTCGGCACCTGGGCAACCAGACTGACCAGCATGCTCCAAGCAGCGGGTCCCCACAGGGTGGGGAAGGGCCACAGCCAAGGCAGGACCCACCGCAGGGCCCTGTCCTCTCAGAGCCACCTCTGGTCAAGACAAAGGCACCAGCCTGGGCAGCACAGCCAAGCACACGTCCGAGTGGGCTGCTTCCAAACTCCCAGAAGCCTGTGGGCCTCGTGGGTCACCGGAGGCCCGTGTCCCAGGGGTGAGAGCAGGGGGTGGACATAAGAGGCAGTGGGGGACGGAGTTCCACGCGGCCCACTAGTCAGGGCACCACCAAAACCTGACCTCGGGGGTGCTGAATGTCCGAGGTGCCAGGCCCAGCCTGGATGGGACTCCGTGCCCCACCCAACACGGGCACACCTCAGCTCACTGACCCCCTGCAAGGGGGCTCCAAGCAGGAAATATGGCCAGCCCGGCAGCCACCTGTCCTGACACAGGCCACTCAGATACCACCGGCAGGGCCTCTGCTGCGGCTCAAGCCCCTTCAGTATGTGCGCTATTGGACCCAGGGGGAGCCCTCTCCTCTCTCTCTAAGGCCTTAGTGTCCCCGTCTGGGAGGAGGATGGCAGCTTCTGACTGGAACCGGGGGGTCTGGCTGCAGCGGGTGCGGCAGGGAGGGGACGGGGCTGCCGTGTGCCCAGCTTCCTCCAAGGAGACCCCCGCCAGCCTCCAGCCCCGCGTCCATCACCCTGCCCAGCTTCGGGGAGAACTCGCCATCCGCTCGGACCACCCCCCAGGTAACGTGTTCCAGATGCTAAGACCACCCCATGAGCACAGACAGTGCTTTTGTGCATGGGACAAGATGGAGGCAGCTCTGTCTCCAGGAGGACAAAGGGCCAGAGGGGCGGGCGCGGCACCCTCCTGGTTCTTCAGCGCAGCCACAAGCAGCTCACCCGGGGTCTGTCCCACCGGTGTCCACAGCACACGGAGGGGCTCGTCTCTACCCGTCACCCAGGGGGCTCTCGGCAGCCGGGGCCTCCGTCCACCGCCCCCCTCCCTCTGCCACCCCATCCCTTTGAAAGTTCAATCTCTTTTCCAGACCTGCCCCGGGTCACTGACCCACATGGCCGTGTCCTCAGCAAGATGCCCCGGTTGTGGGAGGGCAGGATAACAAGGTCTGTTTTGTCTGCAAACACGCGGGGGAAGGAGGCCCCAGCCCCTACATCTGCCGTGGGGAGGGGGCGCAGCGGCTCGCCTGGCGGAATGCGGGGAGGGGGGCCTCGCTTCGCCCAGACCCCAAGGGAGCACCTCACCGTGGTGGTGCCGACCCCGCTGAGCAGGCGCCAAGATGGGCAGGTCGGAGCCTGCCCCGTGGCCCTTTCACTCAAGGTCAAGGACCACCCTGCCCCCAGGACCCTGGGCCCTCAAGGCCTCCACAGTGGGCCCAGACTCCCCGGGCCAGTCTCACGGCCACCGCACCCTTCCTGAAGCAAGCTCTCTGCCCAGGGTCTTGCCCTCCCAGCCTCTTGAGCTCGGCCCACGCTGCCCCCTCCGTGGGGCACACACTGGCCCTGCCTGAGGCACCCACCGCGGCCCCTCCCCAGAGGCACCCCGCAGGGCCCCAGCGGACTCTTCTCTGCCTCTGGCTGGTGGCCGTGTGAGCTCACACCCCCACAGCAGGGGCCTCGGTCGGCGTCGCCTTTGTCCCTGAGGGCCGCCTGGCCCGGCGCTCTGGCAGAAATCTCTGGACTGAGTTGCCCAGCAAACCCTTCAGAGACTGCCAAGGAGAGTCCACGCCGGTCCCTGCCAGGAAGTCCAACAGGGCCAGCTCTCCACCATCAGGGAGATGGTGGGTCCCCTCTTGTGGGGACTGGTGGAACTGGGCCCCCCACAATGATCTGTTGGAGAGTAACCCCTGCCCCGGGACCTCAAAACGTGACCTTTGGAAACAGGATCTTCGTTCCTGACAGAATCCCGTTCAAATGAGGTCATGACAGTGGGCCCTAATCCAGAACGACTGGCGTCCTTATAAAAAGGGAAATCAGGCCCCGGACGCACACAGAGGGGAGCCGGCCCTCCACCAGCCCAGGGGGGAGGCCCAGAGCCTCCGGAGGGGCCCACCTGCTGGCTCCTGACTCAGAGGACACACGTCTCTTCCAGCCGCCCTCTGTGTGGTGCCTCGTGGAGCAGGCCTGACAGACAGACAGCCCGGCTTCGGCCAACCCTCCGAGGGGTGGGAAGGTGGCATATGAGGCCTTGCTGGACCAAAATGCATGAGCTGCACCCTCAGGGGCCGTGCTGGCTGACCCTCGGCGAGGCGGCTGTGGCTCAGAGCACCCCCACCCCTTCTACCCCGGTTAGATCATGTTTTAGTCGAATTCCTGTCATTTAAATTCAGTTCCGTTCTGGTACTACTCCCAGGTGCCTGGGGCTCTGCACACACTGGCTGATGAATTAGTTCCCAGGCTCCCCGAGCGAGGGGACTTCTGGGGCGTCCATCTATTCTTTCGACATCGGCCAGCAAACGGACTCGTCGGGTCTCTTCGTGTGTCCTGTGGCCGCTGACTGGTCTGCCGTTAGCCGGGCGCCGGCGTGGGCCCAGCCCTGGCCTGGCCATGAGAGCCAGGGCATGGCCCCCCACCGCTGGCCACAGCTGACCACAACTGTTGACCTCGGGGCTCTTAGGAATGCGTACCCCCTTCCGAATTCCTGGAGAGCTGACCTCACGCTGTTTATTTCCCGGAACAAAACGCAGCCACGCGGGGGGTGGGCGCTGGGCTGGGAGGGACTGACCGAAGGGAAGGCGCCTTTTCCAGGCACCCCCAGTACATCTGGAGTTAATCCCACAGGGAAGGGGAGCGGAGAGGAAGGGGAGACACAGAGACAGACACACAGAGATGGAGAGGGACAGAGACTAGACCGAGGCCGCACGGCAGAAGGGGAGGGAGGCAGCAGGCAGACTCTAGCACAGACCTCGGCAAGGTGGACGGCACAGGGAGGAATGGGACATGACAGGCGCCGGAGGCCTGAGGCAGGGAGAAGGGTCTCAGCTGGTGCAGGGCCCAGGGCCCCACCTCCTTGCACCCGGTGGACAAGTGAGACCCCTCAGCCTCACTGCAAAGCCGCAGGCCTCCCCGAGGTGGGAGTAGACCCTGACCCCGACCCTGGCCTGGGGCAGGGCCCAGCCAAGAGTCAGCCCTGGGGCTTCCGTGGTGGCCTGAGGCGGGTATCACAGGTCACTGGCCCCAGGTGGCCCTAAGGAGGTGGGCTGGCAGCTCCTCCTGGGTCCATCCTGGAGAGTCTGGCCGGAAGGAGGCCGCGGGGGCCTGGGCAGCAGGCCCTCAGGCCGGGGAACAGAAGGCCTCTATCCCCAGGCAGCTTTCTGCTGGCCAAGAGGCCGGTGTGGGAGGGGACGCCAGCCCGGCTGCTTGGGGCCAGCCCACCCTCTGCTCTGGCCCAGGAAGAGAAACAGTGCTGTCTCCAAGGATCTGGGTGGGGGGGCTCTCTGGACTCCGGACTATGTGAGAGTCTCAATGCACGTCTCAGAGAGCTCCGCCGTGGCCGGGGAGTCACCGTCCCCCCCACCGGCTCTGCCCCAGCCCTGACGTTGGCCTCCCGAGCCGGAGGGACCTGGAGAAAGATCAGGTCCCCCCACCTCAGGACTGAGGGGCTGGGAAGGCCTCCTGCCCCCTCTTCCTGGTGGCAGCTGCCACCCCTACCTCCTGCATCTCCCCTGAAAACCTCAGCCACCCCTGGTCAGCCCAGAAGGGGAAGGAGCCTAGCTGCCCGCTCCAGCCCTGACAGGTCTACCGCCCGAGGCAGGAGGGGGCTGTTTGTTCTGGGTGGCTCCAGCGTTCACCAGGCTGCTTGGCTGAGGTGAGGTTCCTGGGGACATGGACCACAGGCGGGCACCCTGGAGGCCCACCTGAGAAAGCCTAGCACTCTGGGGCAAGCTGACCAGAGAGGGGCCCTGGCGGCTGCTGCCCGGCCAGCTCCGGGGGGTATCTCGGGTACGCCTGCCTCCCGGGGTCCCCACGGGCCACCAGCATGTCACACGTGCCTCCCAGAGCCAAGCCGCAGGAGCGGAGCTGTAGCGTCAGGCAGCTGACCACCACCTGTCCAGCTCAGCGCCCGGGCTCCTTCACAGATGTTCCCCAGGAAACCGCGGGAGGAAACGGCTCTGGTGTAGCAGGAAGGCTGGAGATGGGGCACAGGGAAGGACTTCCTGGTGGCCAAGTCAGAGGACACGGAGCCGGATGTCCACTCTCCTGTAGCCAGAAGGCTTCTGAAGGACGGGGAGCCTGGAGGGGGGGAGGGTCTCGTCCAGTCTGGCCTTGGAGGCGTCCTCCTGGAGACGGCATCCTGGACTACTCCTTATTTCATACTTCCTCCCCTCCCCGCACCCCTCGGCGGGTGTGTGTGTGTGTGTGTGCACAGGGACTGGGGCGGGGGAGGGGTGCGTAAGGCACAACAAAGGACACATGTGTACCCACAGTCAGCATGTACACAGCACCAAGTACATGTACAGCGTTCCACCAGCCCTCAAGCGCCCACCATGCATCAAAAACTACTAACGTTCTACCAGTGACCACAAACAGAAACCCACTCCCTTCCAGTTCCGGAGGCCAGAAGTCCAACATCAAGGCACCGGCAGGGCCGTGCTCCTTCCGGAGGCTCTCGGGGAACATCTGTTCCTTGTACCTCCCCATGGGCTCCAGGCGTTCCTTGGTTTGCGGTCCCATCACTGGGTCTCGGCCTCCATGGTCATGTGGCCTCTTTCCCCTCCCCCCTGCACACAGGCACCTGCGGAGCCCCAACCTTGCAACGACACTTCCCAAACCCCTACTGTCCCTGTGGAGCGCCAAGTGCACGCCCTTATCTATAGCTCTCCAGCTATGTGCTCCTATGCACCAGGCACCTGGCAGGTGCCAGACACAGTTCCAGGCACTGAGGGCAGTCAGTGACCAAAAAAGACATCCCCACCCTTTTGGAGCTAAAGGGCAGTGGGGGCAGATGGACAAAACCAAGTCAGTAGTAAATGAGATAACTGATGCCCTCGATGTCACTCCCGGAGGCAGGGGCCAAGTCCACCTTCTTCAGTCTGCAGTGCTGAGTACACAGCAGGCACTCATTAACGGTTAAAGGACCAGTTGTTTGACGCCTGCCTGTGCCAGCACGGTACACACCCATATGTGCACACCTGTGCTCACGCTTGGGCAGTGTCCGCTGGGACAGGCTCAGGCGCCACATACACACCCACACACCCACAGGGGGGCCTCTACTCCAGCAGAGCAAGGAGCAGACAGAAGGCCCAGGGCTTGGAAAAGCCCTAAGTCTCCAGTGACACCCACAGTGTCGTCCCGAGGCTGCCGGCCCAGAGACGGCCATACCCCATTTGCCTGTAACCGTGGATTTCTCCTGCGGCTCGGTCCCAGCTGCCTGGGCTCAGGCCCCAGCCAGCCTCACCTTGGACCCTCCATGCTCCCCGGGGGGCTCCGCCTGTCCGGGTCCCACCCTTAGCCCTCCTCCCCATCAAAGCTCAGCTTAGGGTTTTCATTGTGGAAGCCCACTCTGCCCAACACCTCTGCCTGCAGGCGTGACTGAGGTGCACCCCTGGGCAAGGGGCAGAAGCTGCTGCCTAAATGCCACATGGGGCGTCCCCAGGAGGCTCCAGTAATGCATTTCACAACCTGGGGCAGGAGCAGGAAGTAAGTGCAGGCCTTTGTCAAGACGAGCTTCCCTGTAGAGTGCCTGGGAGTACAGAGTACCTCTGAGTGTAAGGGAGGGGCCCCGAGGGCCAGCCCCGGCTCTGCGGACTGACGTGCTCTGTGCCCTCGGCAGGGTGTGTGGCCTCTAGGCCTCAGTTCCCCAGTCTGGGCAGACAGGGGCCTCGCGGAGGTACTGTCTCTGGCCTCTCCCAGCCCCAAGACCACCCTGGCAAACACACACCCCAACCTACCCCTGGATCCAGCCACAGCTTCTCAGAATGCTTTTGAACATCATGCCTCTTCCGGAAGGCAGGTGGCCTTCTGAGGACCCCCTTCCTAAGCCCTGGTGCCCCCAGTCCAGGAACCCTCCCCTGGAGCTTTACCCATCTCTAGTTCACATGAGTCGGGGGCCAGGCCATCAACACACAGACCTCTGCCCCAGCAAGCCGGGTCCCAGTCACTCAGCTGAACAGCATTTGCTGTTCGTGACGGACGTGGGGACAAGATCCAGCCTGCGAACCACCAACTCCAAGAGCCTCCTGGGGCAGTCGCCCTAGTCCCTTCCCCTGCCCTCGTTCCTTGTCTCCCAGGGATAGGGGCTCAGCCTCCACCTCATACCTGTCACTCTAGGGTGCCCAGGCAGGCCTGTGGGACAAGAGCTAGGAAGTCTGGGGCTTTCAGCTCTGTGCCCGTCCCTCTCCCACACTGTCCCTGGGTTGCATTCTTAAAGGTGCCTGGACCCCCTGGGGCAGAGACACAGCTCCTTCCATCTGGGGGGAAGTCCCTGGGAGCAAGGCGCTGGGGTTGGGCGACGCGCAGAAGGGCAGCCCTGCCAGCGCTCTCCCAGGGAAGCCGCGGGGTGGGCCGAGTGGCTGTGTCCGGAGCCCAGCCTGACTCACGGACTGACTAAGCCAGTGGGGGCGGCCGGCCGGCCGGCCGGCCTGGCTCCAGCCCAGCTCCACTCGGTGGACGGGCACACTGAGGCCACCGGGCGGGTCGTGACCGTAGGGACCCCGCTCCGCGCCGCCCATCGCGCGGTTCCGCACACACGCCCCGCCCGGCGGCGCCACAGGCCCCAGCCTCAGTTTCCCCGCCTGCGGTGCACTCACAGGAGGTCAGGCCGGTGGCGGTGCAGGATGGCGCAGAAGGCCAGGCCGTCGCGGAACGACGTGGTCATGTTGGTGATGTTCACGTCCCGGTAGCCCTCGCACTGCTGCCGGCACCACTGCTGCAGCGCCTTGGTGGCGGCCATGCGGGCAGCGGCGCGCGCCCCGGCGGCGGCGGGGCTCCAACTGCGCCTCCCGGAGCTGCGGGCCGCTGCCCGCGCCGACCGCCGACTCCCCGCGCCGGCCCCAGGTGCCGACTGCCGCCCGAGCCCAGCCGGAGCCCTGCCGGAACCCTGCCAGAACCCTGCCGGAGCCCCGCAACCACAGCGAGCCTCAGCCGCGCCGCCGGCGGGAGTGCGGCCCGAGCCAGCCCCTGAGAAACCCCGCCCCCAGAGGGTCCCGCCCCCTTGAAGGGCCCGCCCCCGAGTGGCCCCGCCTCCAGGGAAGGGCCACGGCCCCTAGGGTCCGCTCCCTCCAGGCTCAGCTTAGACTGGCCACGCCCCCTCCAGGGCCCGCCCCCGCCCGGAGCCACGCCCACCCCACCTGCCCTCGGAGCCCCTTGAACCTCCACTGCTCTTGGGCTTCTTCGGGACTTTCTTTTCTTTTCTTTTTCTTTTTTTTTTTTAAATTTTTTTTTTTTTTAATTTGACAGAGATTACAAGTAGGCAGAGAGGCAGGCAGAGAGAGAAGGAGGGGAAGCAGGCTCCCTGCTGAGCAGAGAGCCCGATACGGGGCTCGATTCCAGGATCCTGGGATCATGACCTGAGCCGAAGGCAGAGGCTTTAACCCATTGAGCCACCCAGGTGCCCCCGGGACTTTCTTTTTAACGCCCTCCCACCAACTGTCGTGGAGAAGTCAGGGACAAAGCCTCTCTACAGACGGGGAAACAGGCTAGGAAGTGTTGGAGCGCCCCGGCCTGCCTTTGACCTTGGGCACTCTTGACCCCAGGGAGGCCTCCCCTGAGCCCCCCAGCGCGGGAACGCCCCTCACGTTCCTGGGCTTTCAGGGGCTTTTCCTCCGGGGTGCTCACGCTGGCTGGCGGGGAGCCAGGCTAGGCGGTGATCTCGCTTCTGGTTACAGCCCAGGGCGCTGAGGCTGGGAAGGGGCCACGGTCCTCGCGTGGCCCCGCCAGTGTGGGGGAGAGGTCAAGCCCTCCAGGAGTCTTCCCCCGTGGGCCTGTCCACGGGGCTGTTCCCAGGGCTCTGCGACCCTCGCAGGTCATGCTGATCTGTTGTGTCCTGCTTTTCCACCGAGAGCATCTGTGACAGAAGTCATGGGGGAGATGCACCTCCTGTGGGACTCCAGTTACCCAGGCGGCTTCCTCATTCTCATTCCTCATTCTCATGGAGCCCTGGCTGAGGCCAGGCCGCTGGACAGCCAGAAACACTGATACCAGAAATGGAAGATGACCTCACCTTCCCGGCCCCCAAGCTCCAAGGTTTGTCCAGACAAGGCCCACAGGAAGGAAGGTGTTTCCCCATGATTGGTCCCTGGCAGGGCTAAGGGGTAGCTTCTCTGTGCCCACCTGAAGGAGCAAAAACCATGGTCTTCCAGGCCAGAGCCAGGACATGGCATTCCAGCTCGTTACCGCAGCTGGGCCCTGACGGGTGGACATCCAGCTGCCCAGCAATGCGAGTGAGGCCTGTGTGTGGGTGGTGAGCTCCCCATCACAAGGGGACATGCAAGCAGGTGCTAGACAGGGAGCCCCCAGACATGGGATCAAGGCTGACAATGACCACTGCCCTGACCTGCTGGGGGTTTCCCAGTAGGAGGACAAAGGACAGTGTCATGCCAGTTTAGCCAGGCTGGTAGCTGGTCCTGGAACGAGGAACCAGCTGGGTTTTCCTGCTCCCCAGGGCAGCAGTTAGGAGAACTGGAAAAGCCAGGGAGGAAGGGAGAGGCCTGGGGGGAGAGCAGGGGGCGAACACAGGGACTCACAAGAGACACACAGGGCTGGAGGCCCACCTCCCTCAGAAGGAAGAGTGGGGAATGGCTGGAGCTCTGGTCCCAGGGGTTTAAGCTACATTCTTGCCCCTGCTGGTCACACGCAGCTTCCTCTAGGGACAGTGACTTAGAGAGCAGCATTTGTGGTGGGGTCTCCATAAGCATGTCATGTCCTTCCATTGGCCCTGCTCCCTTCCAGGACCTCCAAGCCAGGGCACCCCAAGTCCACCCAATTCTCCCTACTGCCCCCTCCAGCCACCATAGCCCACTCCTCCCCCAGCAGCCAAGGGAGATTTCTAGAAAGCCAACTGGACAAGCAGTTTCCTGCTGGGCCTCTGCAGCACTCCGAATAAAGTTCAGGCCCTGTCATGTCTCCTGGTCCTTATCACGCCTGCCCTCCCTGGCGTCACCCTCCCCTTCTGGCCTCAGAGCCTCTTCCCTGCTGATCCCCTGAACTCAGTCCCTCCTCCAGGACCCCAACCAGGCCCTACCCACAGCTGGCCACACAGTGGTTAATGGCTCCTTCTTGTCTGCTCCATGCCCAAATGCAGTCCAGCAGAAAACCAACCATGGCCACTCCCTCCACCACCACCACCTAGTATGAGCTTGGATTCCCACTGGAAACTTCTGACCCTGCCTCTGCATCAGCTTTGCTACCTACAGTGTATTCTCGACCCAAACTCTGGAACAGTGGGAGTGAGAGCATGCTCAAAGTCTCCTCAGCATTCCTGGAAGGACATGTCCCTCTAGCCATCAGAGCGGCCATCCTCCCCTCTTTCCTGACGGGGCCTCTCCACCTCTTTTCCCATGGCTGCGCTCCGCCCCCGCCCCAAGCTCACTGTCCTGCTTCTGGACCTCCACATTCACGCTTTCCTCTGCTGGGCTCAATCTTCTAGCATCTCCTGCAGGACAGTGGGGCCGCGGTGCTGAGTTCTGGCTAACAGAGGGGACAGGCACACCTGCAGACTCAACTCCCCATCTTGCCTGGTTTGCCGGCCAGGTGCACAGGACACGCAGGTGAAGGCTGAGGCCTCATTGACCAGAGACGGCTATGTGGGCCTCTGGGCAAGTGAGACATGGACACGCACTGGGCTCAGTTGGGGGCATTTTGCTGGCACAGCCAGCTGGCTTTCCCCTCCCATGACACATTCACAAGCAAAGGTAAAAGTGCCCCTAGCGGGGCACCTGGGTGGCTCAGTGGGTTAGAGCCTCTGCATTCGGCTCAGGTCATGATCCCAGGGTCCTGGGATTGAGCCCCATGTCTCTGCTCAGCAGGGAGCCTGCTTCCCTTCCTCTCTCACTGCCTGCCTCTCTGCCTACTTGTGATCTCTGTCAAATAAATGAAATCGTAAAAAAAAAAAGTGCCCCTGGCATGGCACCCCAAGGGCACACAGGGTGCCACTCACTCAATGGTAGAAGAAGGACCCTTGGTTCAGAAGGTGGCAAGGGGGTATCCCTGATGAGGGAGCATGGGAACTGAGACCTGAAGGATCCACAGATAGAGGGCAGGAAACACTTTCCCAGGCAGAAGGAAGGGTGTGTACAAAGGCCCTGAGGCAGGAATGATGGGTCCAAGGAATACAGAAGGTGAGGGCAGCTCCCACAGAGGAACTGGGGAGAAGAGGGCAGGGCCACCAGGCCCCCTACTCCAGTCTGTCAGTTTCACACCCATTTCCCCTTTTAACACAGCCATCCTTTAAAAGTGGGTTGATCAGGGCACCTGGGTGGCTCAGGTGGTTAAAGGTCTTTTTTTTTTTTTTTCTTTTTTAAGATTTTTATCTTTAAGTGCTCCTCAACTCAGGTCTTGATCTCAGGGTTGAGTTCAAGCCCTGCTTTTAAGCAAAAAAAAAAAAAAAGAAAGAAAGAAGAATAATAAGTGGGTTGATCATCCCTTTCCTGTAGCCCAAGAAACTGAGGTCCCAAGAAGAGAAGGGACTACCTGACTAGCAGGGAGGACCCAGCCTGGAGAAGCCCCAGTCCCAGTGTGGGGCGAGGACCCGAGGAGCCTGGATCAGCACAGGCCGGTGTCCTGGCGTCCTGCCTGCGTGGTCACCCTGGTGTTGGGGGCAGGACTTCCAGGCCAGACAGCATCAGTTCCCCTACCTCCTGCTTCCAGAACATTCTACCCCTCTTAGTGATGATGGGGCCGATTCTGGGAGGAAGAGGAGGGACAGGGACAGAGTCATTCTTAATCTCCATCCAAAAGCTAACCGCAGCTGGTGTGTCAGTTTGGTTTCTGGAGGAGGCATTGGCCACTGGGCCCAAGGAAGAGTCCCAGTGGTGGGGTGGGACCCGCAGACTTGTCAACTGGATTCCACCCCAAGTAACTAATTTGACCCAGGGCTGATGGGCCAAGCGGGAACAGCAGCACTTTAAGCCTCTGAGGCAGAGAGGAGAAACCAGGAGAGAAGCAAAGGCTGGGGGGACCAAAGGGGGCTTGAGATCAAAGGGAGGTGTCCTGGCCCTGCAGCTTTCTCTGCAGGGCTTCTCAGAGCCTTTATGTCCCACGGTACACCAGGATGTCCACGGGAGCAGCCACACTGCACAGGGGTGCCCACAGAACTCCACAGAACAGAAGTGGGGGCCTTGGCTCCCTCCGAAGCTATGGCTTGCTATCGGATGTGTGGGCCAAGTTGGCGCTCTTGCTCAGACACCAGTTTGCCCTGGGACCTTGTGAAAGGCTCCCCACTTCTGGGGCTTCCTCATCTTCCTGGTAAGACACGGCCTCTCATCCTCGGGCGTTTAGGGACAATGGCACCACGGGTGATGGCTGGAGATGTGGTTTCCTGCCCGGGGCCACGGGCCACAGCAGTCATGGTTGCAGGAGATGGACACTTGGCGGGGCAAGCTGGGCAGAGTGCCCCCGGAGTGGACCACAGCCCGCTTGTGCGTGGCCTGCACAGGACGGACATTTGGGGGGTCACGCTGGCCTCACTGCAGAACCTCAGGGATGTCCTTCGTCCCCCAGTTCCCAAGGCCACAGTCAGGTCGGCCGCAGCTTCACCCAGATTGCAGGGGACGCCAATGCCGTGCCTGCGGCCCGGGCAGGGGAGGGAGCTGGAAGCTGTGACACCCCATTTTCAGGGGCCACCCATTAATTAATTAGGCCCAATGAATAATGCATGCCGCCTGGGGTATATTAATAGCATATTTATATGGCGTGCTATGGGTGGTACACATTTGCGTCGGAACACCTCACAAATAATTCATGACCCCGCTCCTTTCCTGGGCTCCGGGAGCGCCTGGCCAGT